GTAAAAAAAAAATTATTTAATTAAAAAAATAATTTCATCTGAAAAAAGATTAACTAAAGATCATAAAAGAAAAAGAAAGATTAATTAAATAAAAATAATATTAACATCTGAAACAAAAGATAAATATTATTTCATCATTTAAAATATAAAACAAACATTTGTTTTGACATATTGTATTGGATTGTGCAGGCCGCCTTAAACGCATAAAATACATATGTATGTATGTATTTATTTTTGAGTATTATATTGGACAGCGCAGTCCAATTTCGAAGAACACTTAATTTTTTTTCATACACTTATTTAACAATTGAAATTTGCTGATTCTGATGATATTGCTGCAGCTGCTGTTTCCAATTCATTCTGTTTTCCAATGTTATAAAAACAAATGAATTAATTATTTGCAAATTTAAAAAAAAAAATCACATAAAATTCACTAACTTACCTTCTTGTTAGACGAGCCTCTTTTCGATGGTACGATTACGAATGRCATGCGTCTTCCAATCGTTTTTTTATTACCCTTTTGGCACTATTGACAATTATGTTTTCTCTTTTGCACTWACTCAAATAAATCAAGAAATGAAAGAAACTTTTTTCATCGAATTTGGGTAAACAAAATATAACCCGAAAATGTGGGTTGCTGTTAGTGCATAGAGAAAAATGTATAGTTGTATTGAAATATTTGACACAAGAGGGTAGCCGTGGTTGGCAGGGTATACATTGTATAGTTAACAACCCGATGTGGTGTGCAGTACATATACATATATCTAATTARATTCGTAAGATTTCAAAAATAGCATTGTTAACGCCGCCCCCGCCCAATTTCTTTGCCACGTCTGTATCGGCAGAGCAATCTTTTCTTTTCCTCTTATTCGAACTTTTTTCGAAGTTTAATTCGCGCGCAACTAAACCATAACTAAAAGTTGCGCGCTCTCTCCTTTTGCGACCGCTCACCGATCCAGACGTGGTAAGTGTGTTTCCAATTTATTATATTTAAATATATTTATTATAAGAAACCCTTTGTTTTTTATTTAACATTTTGTGGAATAACTTGCGCCGACCGTTTCCCCCCGGCCAACCACATCTACGGCACGAACGAGCACCGTGCTCCACCACCCGAATTATCAAGCATATAAGGTTTTCTCCTGAAAAACAATTATTGAGTCGGAGCTTCCCTGTAAACCAGTGGTTCCCAAACTTATTCTGTCTACTGCCCACTTTGAGAGTAAATATTTTTTTGGCGCCCCATTTTTTCATCTATTTTAAAACCACTATAACTTTAAATTAAATTAATTAATTATCGTGACCTATATATGTATATTAACGGAGAATTCTAAAAGAAACTTTTACTATAACCCGCAACAAGAAACCTGAGCGCAGTAGGTAACTTACAACGGCGCTTAGGTCTCAAGTTAACTCTTACGGGCTCCACCTGCCAATAAGAATGATTATTGAAACGCAACTTTRTASTATTAAAACAGRGAATCATTTATTAAAAATAAAACTAAAACAAGTAAGGGAGGGCTAAGTTCGGGTGTCACTGAACATTTTATACTCTCGCATGATAAAGTGATAATCGAGACTTCAGGCGTGGTTGTGAACCGATTTCACCCATATTTGGTACATGTCATCAGGGTGTTAAGAGAGTATTATATACCGAATTTCATTGAAATCGAGTACTTCCTGAKATATGGTTTTTGGTCCATAAGTGGGCGACGCCACGTCGGTTAACGCACTTTTAGTGATTTCCAACATAACCTTTGTATGGAAGTGGGCGTGGTTATTATCCGATTTCTTCCATTTTTGAACTGTGTATGGAAATGCCTAAAAGAAACGACTCTATACMGTTTGGTTGACATAGCTATAGTAGTTATCGAGATATGTACAAAAAAGTTAGTAGGGGGCGGGGCCACGCCCGCTTTTCCAAACTTACGTCCAAATATGCCC